TCGTTATTTTAGAGAATTCAGGTGGTCGCTTTGTCGTTAAACGTCTTATTACGAGTATACAACAGCGACGTAGTCCGCGCGTAATTATCGTACTAATCATACTAATATAAATGTCTAATTTTAGATGGATGGATGGATGTCTGTTAGAGTTTGTGGCCTAAAGTGCTCGAATCTCTATGAAATTTGGAATAGATATAGAGGATAGTCTGAGAGAAGACATAAGCGATTTACTTTTTTTAATTCCACGCGGACGGAGTCGCTGACAAAACCTGTTTAAAAATAAACGCAGTAATTATCATATGTGTTTTTTCCAGGCTGTGTTCTACATATGAGAAACTAATTAAGAAAGCTTTTATGAGACCATTTAATGACTAGCATGAAAAATATATTTTCTATAATGTGAATACAGCTTTAAAGTAGTAATAGGTGAGCCTTTAGTCACGCCCTTTAATAAGCAGCCTATGTACCGAATGCTCTTGCTAACGTAAGAGGTGTACAAACGACATAAGCCTCCATTTATCACTTTACGTAAGAATCTTGAAGAGGTAGACAACCTTGTACCATGACATTCATTAGTTTACGGTTTTTACCACTTTAAAATACGCTTAGCACAAGTAAACAGTACTAATAGATTTATAATTTGCTAAGAAGTTGTTGATAATTTTTTGCAAAATAATTATTTAATTATCTTACTTCTTACTTACTAATATAATAAGTGCGAGAGGTTGGTTGGATAGATGGATGTTTGTTACGAGTTTGTAGCCTAACCGGCTGAAAAGATCTCGATGAAATTTGGCATAGATGTAGAACATAGTCTGGAAGAACACATATGATTTAAATAGCACATAAACTTTTTTTAATTCCACGCGGACGGAGTCGCGGTCGAAAGCTAGTCTTCTATGCTTGTTTTATACTCATGTTTCTCGTTTATTATATATCTTATTCAATGCCAATTTCAAAAATTCGTTCACTATTAAAAAGCTAAGGTAATGAAACGTGGACTAAGCCGCGAACAACAGCTAGTATTCTATACGAGTGGAGTAGAACGAACTAAAAAAATTAACGAAATGATGCAACTGTTATTCCAAACGTGTTTAGAAGTATAAAAGCAACAAAACTTCAAAATCGGACCATTTGTGCTACATCGTCCATCGAAGAATTTAATTGTTCGAAATTATAAACAAACAAATTAGCGAACAATAAACAGAAATAAATTTCGCGCCCGTTCTGAATTAAACGACCCTCACTTTTAGAGCATTAAACTAATCACCCCAATAAATATTAAATAAATACCACCCCTCTTTAATACGTCCAAATTATAATGACCTAAACGAGTTGGTAATTTCAATGCGAGCACGTATCTAAATAAAATGGTACGTTGTAGAGGGTGATTTTTTTCTATTAAAAGTTCAACATACGATCAACATGTTAGCATTTAACAAGTTAGGGGATGGTCACACTAATTTTACGCTTGATTTACAACACACCATTTAATTTTCAAAACCCGATACGCACGATAGTATGGACAATATACTGAAGATTTTGGACACAGGATATTATAATTCAATTTTAGCATTTTTCACATCAAATTAACAACGACATTTACTAGTTACGATAATTATTAATACATCTAATAAAATTGGGCCTTATGTATAGCTTATGAAATTCTTTTGTTTCTGAATAGAAATGTTACAATCCTAGCGTAAACACTCACAAACTACTATAACAATAATATTCAAATTGAATTGAAAATTAGTTATATTTAGAATATTTATTCCAAGAGTCCATCTTCAACCGCTAACCTCAAGAATATAGCATTTATATTGTACAACCACGTTTGTACGTATAATTATTAATAACTGTATCACTTAGTTAGATTAGAGCAAACACAGACGCACGACAATAAAATTACGACGCTCCGTTGAGCGCAAGACTTGCAATCAACGTAATTTGATTTAGCTACCGGCCCCCGCCCGCCGGCGCCGGGAGCCCAGTCAAGATATAAACAGCCCACTTCATGTGTTATTACATATTTACTTTCCTATGCTCAAATCAGCTGAGTATAGAAATTTTACGAAGTGTACTTACGCCAAAACATATGCCTCGATTTCAGACATTTATAGTAGGTAGATAAATGTGGCAGGAATTATTGAATAAGCATTGGGGTAACATCTATGTTAAGTGGATGATATAATGTTACTAATATTGTATATGCGAAAGTTTGGATTTTTGTTAAAGTTTATAGCCTAAACGGCTGAATGGATCTCCATGAAAGTTGGCATAGATATGTGGTACAGTTTGGACGATGACATAGACTATTTACTTTTGTTTTTTTTTTAATCCACGTGAAGGAGTCGCGTGCAAAAGCTAGTTATAAAAATATGTGGTCGTTAGATTTTTAGTGCATGTCCTGCCCTCGAAGGCCACCTCATACATAGACTGGAAAATTGGCAACAGCAACTTTTTTGAATTCTTTTTAATATTGAAATGTTATTGTTAGAAATTGTTATTTTTTACTGTCACGGACAATGTTCATCAATTAATCACAAAAAATAAGTTAGTAAAGTAATACAACATATCACTTACGTTGTTAAATATTAAACAATTGATGCCTAAACTTTGCCTTCAATATTGGTAGCTTCTAGCGATATTAATGTCTTTCGCGAGCACGACTCTCAACTTCCAATTGGCTGACACACAAGATGCTCTACTTTAGTTACGAGTATGTTACAAAACTATTTCTTTTATATGTCTTTGCAATTTAAAAGATTAAAGTGTATCAATAACTTAGTAATTCAATATACGTAACGTTCTTTTACCAAATGTTAAACAAATATCGTATGGATCACACGAATTTCAATTTTTTTTTAATCATGAAAAGACGCGACTAAAACATTTTAATAATTCTTTTACTACTAACTCACTTAGTCAGAGCTATAGTTCGTTTTATTTGTAATCTACTACTTATATGAAGTGTTTGCTAAGTTATGAGTTAATTACAAGTAATTTTAACGTTAGATAGATGAAATAAGTGATAGCTACGCATTCTACATGAGAGTTACATAAATATAATACAAAAGCATTACACTATAATGTAATTTATTATAGTAGAGCATCTTGCAAACTGAACTTCAGCGGGAAGTAAGATTTACGTGGTTTGCCGGCGGAATACAAGCCAGCGATTACGTAGAATTTAATCTGAGGACGTTAGGGCTTTTTTATTGCACAATAGATTTATCGACGACGTTTGTGACGTTTTTTTTTGTACAAAAAAATCAGTATTTCTCATACATTTCAATATAAAAACTTTTTAAAATGATTGAAAACATTATCATGATTATGCGCGAGTTAAAAAAATTAGGGTAAACACTTAATGTAAAATTTAAGTAGCAGATAAACATGTCACAATAAATTTTGTAATATTAACAAGCATGTCGTATCAGAGAATTATAACCATAATATTATAGGAACATTTCGAACAACCATTAACAGTTCAAAGAAAAGTCACGTACAGTCAACATGACAATTTTTTGTTTGTTGATTTTCAATTTGGACTCTTAAGCACGATCTCCTCTTAACTTGGACGCGTTTCTTCGTTTAATGTATTTTTAAATATTTTTTGAATGTTTAAACTTTAGCCAGAACACGCCGCCATTTTAAAGAAAATAAAACATCTTTAAAAACCTTTTAAATTGTTTAACAAAGACATCGGCCACTGCATTTCTGCCAGTAGAATATTTTGTTAATTGCTAATTGAAATTCATATTTACTGACAAAACTTGGAACAAAAACTATTAAACTCTTCTCTATATGTAAAAATCCATCACATTGTCTGTAAGACTTTTTTTTCCAGAACATCTAACTGTATCTATCTTCTATACTACATGTAATAAAATTACAGCGTCTGTTTGTAATATCAAAAGAAAAATTCCAGATTTCGGGAAGATAAAATTATAAGGAAGATAAAGATATTTGCGTCTGTTTGTCCGCAAGCCACGTTTGTACAGGTATCTGGACTTTCACTGATGGGGAGCTGACATAGATAAGCATATTATATGCTACTATTTTATCTTAATATTGTGTAGATGAAGTCGCGGGCTACAGCTAGTATCTAAATAATCATTCATAATCAAATATAGCTACAGGATTTTATGGATGAGTTTTGCTAAAAGGCGCCTATCAATACGTCCCAATGACAGATTCCCGGCGAAAGTTGACAGATGCGTGGATTTGGGCGCGCATTTATCGGCTTGTGCAAACACAACCAAATGTCGCGTCGCGGCCAATCCTGTTAAGCTAATTGATAATTATCATTTTTACAGGATTAGTTTTGCGGCGGCGCGTTTGTGTACGATAAATTAGATTCGTAATTTCAATTCCCAGATGCTTATCAATTGAAATGAAACGATAGAATGTTGAGTGTTACATTAGTTATTGAGATGTGTTTATCTGACTCGTTAACTGTTTATTAGTCCATACTTGGAACGTGGAACTTTGTATTTTCAGTCGACATTTAAGAGAATTATAAATTAACTAGGTGTTGTTCGCTAATTTGCCAGCATGAAATTAAAAAAAATATAGCCTATGTTACTCACAAATAAATTACCTTTCTAACGGTAAAAGAATATTTTCAATTATTTCAAAACATACAAAAATACAAAAACGCAAATGTTTCCTCTTTATAATATTAGTATAGTTAGATTAAAAAATTGAAAGTATCGAATTTCGGCGGTCGGTGTTGAAATAAATAAAAGTTAATAACCGTCTGTATTTCTGATTTATAGTATCGTTCTTGCATATTCATGCAATTAAAAATTTTTGAAAATGACAGAAAACAATTGGGATTTAAAATCAAAAAATCTTTAAATAGATTAACTTAAAACCCATTTAAATTTTAAAACTGAACAAAGAAACAAAATCATCTCGTAACTTTAAGTGTAAAATTGAATATTCTTATAAAAGACTTCAACGATTTACTTAACAGTGATTTTATTTCTCAGGAGCACCTCACGCACTGCTCGGTAAGACGCGGCGACCTCGCACTGCGTTCACATCACAACAGCTTTTAGAACTAGAGAAGCAATTCCGTATGAACAAATATCTATCAAGGCCAAAGAGATTTGAAGTGGCGACCAGTCTTATGCTGACAGAAACTCAGGTAAGAACACTTATATCGACTTGCTGAGTTGCATTAGTTGTTCTTAATATAAGTAGGGTACAGACCCTTGAGATACAAGAAGGTACAGAACTTTAAAGGTTTGAAAGTTGAAGGTTAGAGGTGGCATTTGGTATTATAAAATGTTAGTCCTCTATGTAGGATTTTAATAGTGCATTATGTTACTTAATATCAGGAATAGTCTAAACTAAATAATAAATATAATACATAAATATAAAACTCGCTATAACTGTAAGTTAGAATTGAGTGTATGAAGCAAGCATTATATAATACTAATAAAAAAAAACTACTAAGTAAAATAAAAAATACGAAGGTCAATTAAAAATTTCTTTAAGTACTTCTTCATAACAAGAGACCTTTTTGTATAATTTGTAATAAAAAAAACACACGATTTAAAATGTTTTTGTGTTTTACGTGTCACGGTAAAACAACCTTTATTTGACACTAGCGAAATGTCAGCGTGAGCGATGCTTTTGCCCGGATTTGAGCTTACAAATGTCCCGACAAGATTATGGGGGAGGAGAATGTTAGCCATAAAGTTTATTGCGTGGGGCGTTTCATATGGGTTTAAAGATTAATCTCTTCGCACCCGCGGGTACAGTTTTTGCATTTTGACGTATTACTCGGATGTGCTGTAATCTACAAAGTGGTTTGATGTAGCGCAAAAATTATCAAAGGACACTGAAATATGTAAATGTCAATAAAGGAAAACTTCTTACTGAAAAAAGAAAAGAAATACAGAGATTAGATTATTTCTTCTAGTTGATGCATGTAATAAAATTTAGATATAGTAATTGTATGATATGTCGATAAGACTACAAAACATAAACTGTTCTAAGTAATTCTTAGCAAAGATAAGTACGATATTTAAAATTATATGTTTCTGTATTAAATCAAAGTTTTTAATTTGTTCTCAGGTAAAAATATGGTTCCAGAATCGAAGAATGAAGTGGAAACGATCGAAGAAAGCGCAACAAGATACGAAAACAAAGGATGGCCACGTCAGTCATCAAGCCGAAGAAAAGAACAAACAAAAAGAACTACCTTTACCGCAATCCGATCCTGAAAAACAAACACAGCAACAAATGCCGGCAGATTTGACAGCTGTCAAGCCTCCCCAAATGCTCGACAGGGACAGAATTATCGCGCTAGAAAGAGAAAGAGCTATGGCAGCTGCAAATTTCAACTCTAATTTAGAAAACAATAGACGTGGATTGGTCGTTCTAAACCAAGATGGCGCCAGACCTGGCATGGACATGTTCAGGCCGTATGTGGTATGAAAGTAGAAAACTTTTTATTTGTTATTCATTATTTTAACACTATTATATTAAGATTTGTCTGTACATTTACAAATGTTTATACGATAACTATGTATTGTTTAATTGAATTAATTACAGGCCATTAACGTAATATTTGTATTGTACAAAGAAAAAAATAGTTTCATAAATTACGATAAGTCATATAAACGATATGAATAGCATAGCATTATAGTAAAAAACAATTTGGATTTCCTATCAACGCATTATTTTTAACATTATCATGTTATAATAAGCAAAGATGTTATATCTAGTCAACATAGTTATATCTTCTAGTGTTAAATGTTTTAAATAATATACGTATGTAAATATTCTAAATAGTATAATGAAAATGATTAAATTCTTTTTTTGCAGTAGTTATTTATTTTTACAAAATTTACTTTCTATATCTATCTATACTTAAAATATTGTAAATCAATTTTAAACATAATTTCTTATAAGGAATTGTAAAGTTGTTCCTAAGCTAACAAGAAGCATCTTTAATACCAGTATTATTAGAATAGGATGGTTTGGAATGTCCCACCTAAGTAACTTTTTAGTTTTAAAGTGAAAACATGCATTTAAAAATAGAAAAATATATTATTACAGATATATTATATAATTTAAATTGCAAATCGCTATTGCAAATTTAAATTTAACTGCAATCTTATCTAGGAAGTAATTAATATTGAAAAGTTCGGCCATGTAGATGAAAAATGTAAACAGAATAAATTTTGAAATATTATTCAAAACTTAACAATTGTTTTAAAAAATTTCAATGTACAAGAAATGGGCTAAATAACGAAAAAAAAACTGTTTATTCTTTTACTTAATTAATTTCCTCTCATGCTAAATTGTTTAGAATAATTCTAGATCCATAACTTAATTAAGCAAACGGAATAAGTATACTATAAAATATAAGATAGATATCTAAGTATGTGAAGTATTTGTAAGATATAAATATAGAACTTGACTTCACTTAGTTGTACTGTAAATTATTTATGTGCAAATCGATTAAAACTATAGTTGCTATGTTGAAAATCATGTTTTCTTTCACTTCATAACCTTAAATTCTGGACCTTTTAAGAAGACTTGAGTTGAGAAGTGAGAAACCTTTTAGGAAGGTGAGTTTCGCGGAGATCCCAGAATCCATTCCTATTAGAGGCTGGCCACCGAGGGAGGTGTGATTGGGTCATAACCCACATAGGCCCGTCTCCCCCCAAAACTGTATGGATATTACCCCCACCCCGATACCAAAAATAACATGTTTAGCTCAAAAATGCTAATTGTAAAAGGTTTTCAGTAAAATTAACAATATAATACTCGATTAGAAACTGGGAGGGGGTATGCATGTTTTTATCAATGAAGTGGACAAACTGGCGAATATTCAGAGATCTAATAACATTCCGATACAAAATTTGATAAAGAGAAAATAATACTGGAATACATAGGGCCGTATATTTTATGTCATTTGTTGAATAAACAATTATTTTCATCCGAATGTATATTTGTCATCAAATGTATGAAAATTCAATCCTTAAATTATAATCTGTACTGATGTTAAAACTAATTCCTTAAAAATAACAATTTCAAATCAGTCTGTATCAGATCAGAAACAAAGTAAAATAAATGGAAGCTTCCTTCGAATAAATGTAGGATGACCATAATTTTTTTGATCTTTACAAAAACGAAGAGTTATATAAACGATGAAGTAACAATTTAAAAGATACAAGAGTGTAACATACTTAAATTAATCTTAAAAACATGATAGCAATTCAAAAAATGTTGAGCTTATTTTTAATTTTATAAATAATTTTATCCGCTAAAATTATTGTCACTCTATCATCTGTTTTCGCGTGCCGGGGTGTCGGCGTAGCTTTCCTCTGGAAAAACTCATTACCTATTCCCCCCCACACCCACAGCCGAGCGAGACGGGTAATTTTCTGCTATCTCTCTTTGTGTCTTGTATTTTTGATCCGATGCCATATTCATAGTCACTTTTAGATTTTTCACTTTTGTAAATTAAAAAAAAAGTGGAAAGAAACTTGCCTCAGCTTAACACTATAATACTAACGTAAAATCATGACAGAGTAACTACTAACAAAATTGTTAGTGTAAAAAAAATCCTTTACTTAGTAAACATCCCCTAGCCTTAAACAGGGTAAAGATGTACGTGTGTCACAAATAGTCTTAACTTAAAAACTAAGAAATAAAAATTAAGTACCTACACGACATTATAAGTCTATTTGATTCAATCGGACTGAAATTCCAACTTCATTTTAAAAGTTTCCCTTTTTATAATATCTAGTATGCACTATAAATAAGGGTCTGGGCGGAGCGGCTTGTGATTGATGCCCTTTGTTTAAACAAGTCGCGTCTCGCCGCCGCCGCGCCTGCAGTAACGAGACCAACTTACTCGGCCTAAACAACCTTTTACTTACTAGTTTTACAATTTTTCAGGGTACTTTAGACTACTATATAACATGATATTTACATGTAGCACCATTGACTATGTAAATTGTAAATTGATTATGTCTTTACCTTTTTCCAAAACTAGATTAATGTTGTACCAGTTTTATTCCTTTTCCAACTGCAAGTCTCTGACTGCGACACTCAGAGTCATCAAATGGCCACTAACAATCCTTTTAACTTTAAACTTCAAAAGGCGTTTTATCTGTATTATTATAAAAAAAAAACATTTTTTATTATGCTTAGCTAGTTTTTATTCGATACATTGGTGACTTAGATTTATTATGACAAAACTAAATTTCGCAAGCAAATAGGTCCGCGTGGAATTAAAAAAAAACAAAAGTAAATAGCCGATGTGTTCTTCCAGACTATGCTCTACATCTATGCCAGATTTCATTGAGATTCATTCATCTATCTAAAATTATTACAATAACATTAAAAATCTAGTGCCAAAGGGCCGTGGTTGGTGTGCAGGTTGTGGGGCGGGAGATGCGAGCTTTCGTTACAAAATCAAATATCAAATATTGATATTCGCTCCTCGATTTTGTATTCTGTTTGAGGTGCGAGATACTGTTTGCAGTTCTACTTGGCGAAACGTTTCACATTTCATCCGTCATCGATGGCTGCCGCGGTTTATTCAAAATATGCTGAATAAAAAATCGTTTTAATATTGCAAATACAAAAAGCTTTTATTCTCGAATAGATGGTACAAGTTTTATAGAATTTATATCATATAGTAGTGAATTATAGCTCTTTGAAAAAAAAACTGAGATAGGTTTGGTGTTTGAATGATTCATATCTTAATTTAAGCCAAATAATGTATTCTCAAGACGCAAACCTAAAGTTTAAAAAAGAAAACTCATTATATAAAATCATATTTCAAGAGAGTTTTAGACAATTTATAGATGTTTTGCGCCAATTGCGATACCTTATATTCTGCTTTTGTGAGAACAGCTTAAGCCTTGCGTCATTACTGGCTGATTTTAAGTTTATGTGCAGCGAAAGTCTATAATACGACTAACTAAGGATTATAGAAATATTATAGGAAAATGCGCAATTATTTTCTGTGACAGAAAATATAATTCGATATAAACAAAGGAAAAAAAAAGTAAAAGTAGAAATCATTCACGTTCACGTCCGGTGGCTGGCCAACAACGCGGAAGGCGGGAAGACGGCGCCCGTTGATTGGTGCAAATTGAATTTGGAATCAAGGAGCGCGGGAACGAGCGGGCATGAGCAG